CTCGTTGACCATGGAGCCAGCGGCAAGCCCCCCAGCGCCTGCTGGGTCAGCTCCACGATGGCTGGATGCCTGCCCTGCCTCCGGAGCTGGGGCTGCCGCCAGGGCTACTGCGGCTGCTGCCCCCGAGGCTGCTGCCCCCGAGGCTGCTGAAGCTGCTGCTGCTGCTGAGGCCCCCTTCTTCCCAGAGCCCAGCTCTTTCTTGATGCGGGGCTTCTGGACCCCCTTTCGCACACTCGAGGCCAAACAAATCTTGCGAAGTTTGCCCGGGGAATCCTTGCCAAGACCTTGTCCCTGAGGCCCCAAAAGCGCCTGGATCTGCTGGACACACTCCTCATCCATCTCCAAGTCCTCCTCGGAGTCCCCACATACCCTCCATCAACGGCGATACGCTCTGCTGCTGACATGGGTACTGCGGCGGCTGCTGGCATGCTGCATCCTCCTCCTGGGAATCCTCCTGGGGCTGCTGGGATCGGCGGGGTGAGCGCGCCAAGGAGGGAGAAGAACTGGTGCTCGATTTGCCCGCGCATGGTCGGGTCGTGCACCACATGTCCGACTGCCTGCCTAAGGATCCCCGCGCACGTGTCCCCAGACGGCGTAGCTGGAGAAGGCCCTGGACCCATAGACTCTTGAAGCTTAAGATGTACCTTGGTGCGCGCCTCAGTGAGCTGGACCTGAGCTTCCGGCAAATCCCTACCCAACTGCTGCCTCCACTCCAAGTGCTCTGTGATAACTGGTTCAGCTTCAATGATCTGGTCCTGGATCGCCTCGACCTCCCCTTCATATTTCTTGACCTGCTTCTCAAGCTCTTGGAGGATGGACGAGGCTGAGGCCTGGGACTCCTGGTGGGCCTGGTGGGCGTTCCAAGCCTGGATGAGGAACCCTGAAGTGGCCTCGTCGAAACTGTTCCCCCCACTCCCCAACTGGAAGAGGTGGTGGAGGGAGTCGTGCGGTGTGTCACTGCGTGGCTGGGGCGGTCGCCACGCCCCCCGCCTTTGGTCCCGCCGTCTTTTGAACGCCCGCCCTCTGGAACCCAATGGCCCCCTGCGGGCGCACCACGATCCCCTTTCTTACCTTTGCCCTTTCCGCGCCCCTGAGCCCAGGGGGGCGGCGGCTCTCTCCAATCCCCTCCATACGGTGACGGGGGTGGTGGAGCTGGACGACCATAAGGAGCACCACAATGATAGCAAAACTTGCTGTGCTCCAGGTTCTTTTTACAGCCGCAGCGGCCACATGGGGGACCGACGGTTTTCTGCTGGGTAGGGCCCCACTGGGACCCACGACCATTCCCCTCCTCCTCGTCCTCCTCCTCCTTCTCCCCCTCCTCCTCCTCCTGCTCCTCCTCCTCCTCCTCCTCCTCCTCCTGCTCCTCCTCCTCCTCCTCTTCCTCCTCCTCCTCCTCCTTCTCCTCCTCCTCCTCCTCCTCCCCCGTCGCCTCCTCCTCCATTTTTTCTCCTTGTAGATAACTCCTCCGCGTCGCACCCCGAGGCCAGTTTTTTTAGCGCGGGTCGGGCGTTTCGCCTGAGACTTCCTCTCCATTTCTGACTCTGGAGCTTACACAGTGAGAACAATTTTACAAATGGAAGGCGGGTGGTTTTCAAAATGTGGCTCTCGCCTTAGCGCCCCGCGCATTCGTTGACAAAAACTGCAAGGGCTTCACGGATTGAGGGCGGGTCGTTTTCAAAATGTGGCTCTCACCTTAGCGCCGCGCACATTCGTTTTCAAAATGCGCAAGAACTTAGCGGATTGAGGGCAGGTCGTTTCCAAAATGTGGTTCTCTCCTGCCTTCGCGCCGCGCACGTTCGTTTCCAAAAATTGCACACGCTTCACTGATTGAGGGCGGGTCGTTTTCAAAATGTGGCTCTCGCCTCAGCGCCGCGCACATCCTTTTTTCAAAATTTGCAAGAGCTTCACGGATTGAGGGCGGGTGGTTTTCAAAATGTGGCTCTCGCCTTAGCGCCCCGCACATGTGTTTTCACACTTTGGAAACGTTTCACTGATTGAGGGCGGGTCGTTTTCAGAATGTGGCTCTCGCCTTAGCACCGCGCACATTAATTTTCACAATTTGCAAAAGCTTCACGGATTTAGGGCGGGTGGTTTTCAAAATGCTTAGCGCCCTGGACATTCGTTTTCACAATTTGCAAGAGTTTCACAAATTCCCATGATCGATGTATCAGGCATGGTGCTTTGGAAGGATTCAGGATTATGCTGGTGTTTTGGAAGGATTCAAGACTATGCGGGTGCATCAATTATGTCGGTTCGCGGTGTTGAAATCCTAAAAATGACGTTGTGGCACGATTCCGGGTCGTCAAGACGCAACAATCAGGTTGATACGTGGCGTTGAAATCCCGAGAACAATGTTTTGGTATGCTTGATGATCCTCAAACAGTTGTCTTCCAACGAGGCAGTTCCCTCAATGGGAACGAACCGATGTAGGGGCCCATGAAGAGGGAGCTTGGAGGGAGGGTTGGATGACTCTTGGGTTTACACTGGTCGTCCTCCTCCTCCTCCTCCTCTTCCTCCTCCTCCTCCTCGTCTTGCTTCCCCCCTTTTAACCAAAGCTGCCTTCTCCTCACTTGCTCCCTCCTCAATCCCTCACGCCCATCCCTCTCTCATCGCTGTGACCTCACAACTCCCGAACAACACCAGTCCCTGGGGCATTGCGACCACGACGACGACCCATGTTGTCAAGAAAGCTCTGCGGGCTCGCTCGACCCAGAAATATGTACATATATATATATATATACACAACTACATAAATAGATCCGCCGGCCCCCTTGTGGGGCCACCAGGCTGTAGACCCAAGCTTCGCAGTTTCCTGTACCAGTTGCACTTTCCAGTTTCCACTGTTACAGTCCTGCTTCTTGCTGCTGACTGTTCCTTGTTGATGGACCGCGCGAGGGGGGAGGCCCAAAACGGGCATTTATACCACGCCCTGAGCGCGTGCTCTGAATTACTGGGGTGGGTAAATATTGACACCCCTCACACAGATTGGCGGGGTCAGGGTCCGAAAACACGCGGGATTTGCCACATTTCTGGCATTTGCTGGCACCCCTCACGCAGATCGACGGGGTCAGGCTCTAAAAACATAGGGGATTTGCCACATGTCTCAAAAAATTGCTAGCACCCCTCACGCAGATCGGCAGGGTCAGGGTCCAAAAACACATGGGATTCGCCACATTTCTGCAATTCGGCGGCACCCCTCACGCAGATCGGCGGGGTCAGGGTCCAAAAGCACGCGGGATTTGCTACATTTCTGGCATTTGCTGGCACCCCTCACGCAGATCGACGGGGTCAGGGTCCAAAAACATACGGGATTTGCTAAATTTCTGACATTTGCTGGCACCCCTCACGCAGATCGGCGGGTTCAGGGTCCAAAAAACATCGGGGATTTGCCACACTTCTGAAATTTGCTGGCACCCCTCACGCAGATCGACGGGGTCAGGGCCCAAAAACACGGAAGATTTGCCACATTTCTGAAATCCGGCGGCACCTCTCATGCAGATCGGCAGGGTCAGGGTCCAAAAACACAGGGGATTTGCCGCATTTCTGAAATTCGGCGGCACCCTCACGCAGATCCGTAGGGTTAGGGTTCAAAAACACAAGGGATTCGCCACATTTCTGAAATTCAGTGGCACCCGTGACGCAGATCCGAAGGGTCAGGGTCGAAAAACAAACAGGTCCCGACACTGCTTCACGGCGGCGCCCAGACCTCATGAATTAGCTCTTGCATCTCTCATTATCCGAGACAGGGGGCCGGCGGCATGGGTCGAAGCCCTTACGGATATATACATATATTAGTATATATGTATATATATATATGAATATATATGTGTGTAAATGTATATATACATATGTGTATATATACATATATATATATATATGTATACGTATATGTATATATATATATATATATGTGTATAGCAGTATGTGTATATCTATTTATATATAGTCGTATGCATATATACGTACAGGACCCAGAGCTTCGCTTCCAGATATCTTTCGCAAAATATGCCGCCACCAACTGTGCAGCAAACACCAAAATTCTGCCAACCCGAAGTTATTCGAACTTGGGAGGCGCACGTGATCATACGTTGCTGCTGGCCGTGCAGCCGCACCTGTGAAAGGCGATTGATGAAACATAGACGTTCATCTTGCTGGCGGACTTATCATCGCCGCCAACATCTCTGCCCTGACGACCTTCAAAAGTATTACCACTGCTTGATCTCTGATCGATGACCCCTGCACTGTGAGCAGATTCAAGACGCACTGTGCTCCAAACCTGGAGAGCACCAAGGCCCTGGCCCAACTTGGGTACACTCCAGAAAACGCTTGGGTCCTTTAAAGATCACTCCAGGATGCTAGCTCTGTAAATGGGCAGTCTTCAGCACCTGCGCCAAAGTCTCCAGGACAGTTCCAGGCTGCATTCCTGTAAGACCGCCTAGGTATCGTGATCCTTGACAGCCACCAACAATATCTCTGCGGCGGGCCAGGGGAGGAAATGAGAAGGAGAGGGCCTTCTCAGAAGGCGGCGGGACTTCTCAGAAACCCTCGCGCCTTATGAGAAGTTGTCTGTGTCTTCGGGGAAGGCTTGCACATCTTCTCCGCAGGCCGTGGGACTTCCGAGCCTTCTGAGAAGGCCCGCCCCTTCGCACTTCCCCCCTGGGCTCGCCGCCGAAAATCGGCACGTCTACGGAACCGACCGCTTGCCACTGCGTTTAAGTTTATTGGTATTGCGCCGTCGAGGCCGCCGGTCAACTGTCGCGACGCACCGATTGCCGAAGGCATGCTACGGTGGATGTGCATCCGGAAAGCCGCAACGGATTACAAGCGCAAGAGCTGGGCGAACTCACCTGACAGACCTTGAATCATGTTATTCATGGTCATACTCCTTCTCCTCCTCCTCCTCCTCCTCCTCCTCCTCCTCCTCCTCCTCCTCCTCCTCCTCCTCCTCCTCCTCCTCGTGACATGCACGAGCGCCATACAACACGATGCACCATGTCCTGACGCAGCTCTGGTGCAGCATAAAGAAGGCCAAGACCGTGCGAGCGCACAGCGGCAAGCACCGTAGATCTGCAGACGCCCACCATTAAAGCAAGTCGTGTGAAGACCAAAACACAATAGAGCGACATGACGCAACTTATAAAGTCCCTGGGCAAGACCAAGCGACAAATGAAACACAAAAAAACTGAAGGGAGAGGATATTGACAAGCTCTTATATGCATATGGGGAGACAGCGAAAAGAGACGGAGAAACACACACACACACACACACACGCGCGCGCGAGCGCGCGCGCGCGACACCGCAGCGGGGCAGCGGGGAGGCGACCGAGGGCGGGGCAGCAAGTCGGCGCGCCAAAGTCAGGCAGGCAGTTCGCCTGCCCGCACCGGCACGACGGCAGGCAGGGGGCGCCCACGCCGAGGCTCGGCGGGCGGAGCGGCGGGACAGGCGGACAGAAGCCAGGCCGGACCGAGAGGTCGGGAGGCTGGAAGAGCCAGCGAGGCGGAGGGAGAAGCGGCGGGGCGAGGGCGAGGGCGAAGGTGGGCGGAGAGCCCGACCCCCGGGAGGGATGCGGGCGGGCCGAGAGGCCGGCGGAGCGGCAGCGAGGCAGTCACCCTGCGGGACCACAAG